GCACTCGACACGTCTTGGGAGCACAGAAAGTATATGGAGAAATTTATATAACAGGCATCAAATTTAAGCTGTTTATCAAGTCTCTGATTTCCCTTCTTTTTTTTTTTTTTTGGTTTAAATTTCATTTTGTTGGCTTTGTCTAATTTGCTATTGGGTTCTCAATTGTCAATTGTGAATAGGCTAATTTTTTGTGTAGTTATTTATGTTCTATATACCAATATTGTACATAAAATGTCATTACAGAGAGAGAAAGAGATTGAAGAGAGACTTTAGACTGTTAAAAGAGAGTGGATCCCAGAAGTGCTATCTATATGTTGGGCAATAAATGTCCAGAGGTGATAAATTAGGATTTTTAAAGACAGACTCACTATCAGTATCAAATTATATAAATGCATTTTTATGTTGTCTGAGAAAGACACAAAACAGCTATATCAAATCCTCTGCCATTTATGTGTATGTGGGGTCTAAATGTGTTCCTTTGCCCCGATAGACGAACTTTTAGGGGGCCGATGAGGAGAAAGCTTCACCCCAACCTCATTCTTCCCATCTCACCTTCCTTCAGTGGAACACATTTATTGTTAATTTTAGTTATATTAACACATTTTAACATTACACAAAACACTCATGTCCGTAGATGCCTGGAAGACGTTTCATTTTTTAAACATTGTTTTCGGTACCCACCGTGCAGTCTTTTAATATCCGTCCCTGTGTTTCTGTAGTCTTTCAGTGGCAGCAGCACCAGGCAGGTGTGTGCCCATACCACCCACATGTTTACAGCTTTTGGTTTGAGCTGCTAGCTGTAGATGTTTTTTGGCACCCTCCATCCTTCCAGACATTTCCTTCAGCTCCATTTTTACTGCAGAGCTACCGAATCTGCAAGGTAGAAATGTAGAGATACAGATAAACTCCCTCATCTTAACAGCCTCAGTGACGGTCTTATTCTAGTTTCTTTTTTATGGTGAACATGGAAGGGAAGTGACATTTATTATAAACTTCAAGCTCGTCTCTTCAGATGGATTCAAACGTCACAGATGTGCCAGTTCTGCAAACATGAGTGCAGGTTAGCGATATCGCTGTTTTCCATTTCTGGGTTATACTTTGGTTAGTTCTCACTGCCAGCTGAAGAGCAAAGGTGCAAAGTCTTTAAACGCATCAATACGACAGCATTTCTGAAAGATAAGCGAATATTTTTAGGCTCGTAATCACACACAAAACTAAAGAAAATCAGTATAAAACTTGGATTTTCCTTTTTTTTCTTCTTTCTTTTTTTTCCCTTTTTTGCAGAGTAGCCAGTGTTCAATATTGTTGACTTAACAAGACGATTTTATGAGTCTTTTTGAAAGAAATATCGTGCAAATTCAGGTTTCTCAGCGAGGAGGCTGAGGTTTTTTTGAACATTTTGATAATGAAATGACTGCTGTTTGGTCATTTGGTGCTTATAGATGTGTGTTTCTGACCTTGAGGAGGATTGTTCCTCATGCGGGAGCATGCCGTTCTTAACTTTGTGACGCAGAAAACTGATGTTCTGTCAAAAGCAAAATGTCTTAACCCTAAAAATCCTGAACCGAACTGTCTTTGACCACAACTGGATCCCTGCGCAGCGTGTCAGACCTCAAGTAGTCTTACCTCACTGACTTCTCTTATCAGTAATTAAAAACGGCAGTTCAGCTTTTGCGTTGTATCGCCCCACAGCAAGCCGTCTGTCTGTACGCTCATGTGCGGGGTTCCTATGCATCTTCAGATCTCAAAAGTCTGGCGGAGTGATTTGAAATTGGCCGACAAAGCAATGTGTAGGGACTCGTTAGGACCTATGACGTGTGTATTAAATGCATTATAGCCTACAGGTCTGTACAAAACCAGCTCTACCAAAACTCCTTCTGCATGCTTCATTCATGTGCTAACCTTTATGTTTCAAGGACCTTAATTCAGCTACCTTTTGTAGGGTGCTCATTGTTTATGGTTTTTATGTAAATCAGTATTTTATTTTATTATTATTATTATTTTTAAAAAGGTGAAATTTGAATTGGCCTGTCCAGAAATACCTCTCCAGGTATTTCTTCTCCTCCTTTGTTCTTCTTAATTTTTTTTACTTGGTCGGACTCTTGCTACAATAAATTTGCATGCATAGAAGGTGATTAAAAACCAAAAACAATGAGCCTGGCCATGTTCTCAGCTCGTGGAAGAGTGTTGTGTTTGTACTAATCCCTGCAAACGTAATGTAATATCTGTGTGATATTATGTCTTTATAAGTGCAGACTTGGTGTTTTAAAGGCTTATACTGGTTATTTCGTAGTACTCGGACGAGTGTCGAGTACGCTTCCCGGGACTATCACTGACACTGAGATCTGTGCTTTAAGTCCTCTGGTTTGCAGTCCTAGATCGTAATCGTGTTTTCTGCCGTTCGGCTGTCACAACTCGTTTGGAGTTCTCGTCGTGTTTGGTTGTAACTGATTAAATCTCTTTACTGTAATTCAGCGATTGAGCTGTAAAACACTTGACAAGGTGCTACTGTACTCACGACTACAAACGGAAAAGGTATAACGCAAGACACTGCTCCGGAAACGCCCTTGTGTTTCACATCCGCCTTCAAACGTTCACTTTTTCGCTGCTTTGATCGTTAGTGCTCTCATCCTGGCCACGATCGAGTCTTTCCAAATGTTTCACTCTGAATCATCTCTAAAGCCTTGAGCAGTTTACCTTGATGAAACCTTCTGGATCTGTTGCATTTGTGTGTTGATGAAAACTAAAAATAAAATTTAATGAGCCCAAATAGAACAACTCCAAGGCGTTTTCTGTCACACAAAGAGCAAAGACAATGGTGCGCAGCTTTTAAGTCAAAATTAGAATTGTTTACCCTCTCGTGCTTGTTTTGTTCTG